TAAGCAAAATCAGGAAAAGGATATGTCTCTCTCTCTCTCCCTAGCTGTGCTTGTGCAAACTGTACAAGACCGTAGCCTAGAGTGTACCTCTAATAAATGCCATTGAAAGCCAGGAAGCTCTAAGACTTAAGAAATAGCATCTGGCTTTTTCATTGCCTAAACAGCTCTCAAAAGTGCCTCTGGTGCTGCCATCAACACTTCCCCCAGTTCCCTGCTGTTGAGAGCTGCAGTAATGTTGCTTTTAGCAACTCATTAGGCAGTGCAAAAGGTTTTGCTTACAGTGTGTCTAGCAGCAGTGTTACTGATCAAAGGATGCTCTAGGTAGCAGATCACCCTCTTCTGGAGATGTGAAAGACATTGCTTGGATTACCATCTCCTAGTTAGATACCCTCTGAAAGTTTGGGACTATAACCCACAATATCTCCAGTGAGCAGGGGTAATTGCTGCTCTATTTGGTACGATTATAGTCATAAATCGACATTATCTTGATAGATCACGACTAGGGAGGCAGAGTCTAGAGATTGTCCCTAAGAAATATAGGGAAGAAACTAATAACTTTTTAAATATAGGACAGAAAACACGAGAAGGTAAATGATAGAAGTGTTGGTGGGGAAAGAAGGCAAGGTTAAGCATTCTCTGGTTCTTGTTTCTTTCATGCTAACTTCAAAACAGCTTATCTTAAACCACATATTATCTTAAACATATTATTTTAAACCACATATCACAAAAGTGTAAAAGTAGATTTCAAATAAAGCATTCCCAAACATTTTTTTACAGGACAATGTACGTTGGGGTTGTCCCTCTAAAGCCACCGAAAAATGGAATGGGAGGGAGCTTACTTGGATCTCCATACAGAAAAAATTCACGACTATGATTTAGATTAGATATTCAGCACTTGGATTCTTGCTCATGGTAGATCAGACAGCAGGACCTCTGTCTTCTGGATGAAGGCAGTCTCATCCCATTTAGATGACCTCAAGAGAGTCCCAATGGTGCTTTTTCCAGGAGGTAACTGGACTTTCTTGTTTTTTTTCTTTTGAAGACGTTTCGCTTCTCATCCAAGAAGCTTCTTCAGCTCTGACAGAATAGTGGGGAATGGAAGAATTTATATACCTTGCAGACAGCTGGTCATTAGCATCCTTTTGCATCCTGGATGACTGAGAATCTCTTCAGACTTTTAGCTATACAGTTTGGGATTAACACCTTTTGAATGGTGTGGGAATAGGAATGGATTTCCAGAGGAAAAATGGCAGATTACAGGAACCAGGAGCACAAATCAGGTGACCCTGAGGACACCGATAAACCTCCAAGTGCTTCAACGACCCTCTAAAAAGATGCAGATGACCAGCTGTCCGCAAGGAATATAAATCCTTCCATTCCCCACTATCCTGTCAGAGCTGAAGAAGCTTCTTGGATGAGAAGTGAAACGTCTTCAAAAGAGAAAACAAGAAAGTCCAGTTGCCTCCAGAAAAGGCACCTTTGGGACAACCATGACCTGGATGACTGAGAATCTCTACAGTCCTCAAGAGAGATGATGACCTGCCATCAAGTCAGTCTTGACCGTTAGCAACCACATAGATTTTTTTTCTCCGGAAGGATTTTCTTGGTCTTGTCCTTCAGTCTTCCAACAGTGCACCCAACATAATGAAATCCATCCAGTTTACTAATGACCTTCCTCTTCTCTTTCTTTCCAATTTTCCAGTATTATAGACTTCTCCAGAGAGCTAGGTCAGCATAATGTGTCCAAATTAGGATAATTTGTGCCTTGACGAAGAAGTCTGGGTGGATTCATTTGATAATCTATTTCAGTGTTTCTCAACCTTGGCCACTGAACAATGTGTGGACTTCAACTCCCAGAATTCCCCAGCCAGCAGGGAGTTGAAGTCCACACATCGTCCAGCAGCCAAGGTTGAGAAACACTGATCTATTTGGTTGTTTTTTTGGCTGTCCATGGTTCTCTCAGGAGTTTTCTCCAACACCAAAGTTCAAAAGTGTCAATACTTTTTCCTATCATGTTTCTTCAAAGTCCCATTTTTGCTTTTAATTACCAAGAAGAAAGAAGCTAGGGATGATTTAACGGAATCAATTTCATAGAACTGAGAATGGAGGCGGACATTTTCCCTGACATTTTCAGTGAAATGAGCCTGCCAGGGAAAACACCATTTTAAATTAAAAGTTGATATACCTAACGTGTTAAAAAAGAAAAAGCGAATGTCTTGATGGTTCAATATCAGACACCAAGAGTACATACTGGCTCTGCTCTCCACAAATAGACTGAAACAATGAGGTGACTGATGGATACGGGTGGGTTGCTAAAAATGTTACAGAAGTGAAAATGAAAAGCAGTTTTTGGTGTCTTTGTCTCTTGGTGCCAAAACGAATGTATAAAACAGAAGCAGCCAGAAGGTATGGTAAAAATATTTTGAAATCCCAAGAATGGCAGAAGCTTATCTAGATGCTTTGACAATCTGTGTGGCCAGTGGCTATGAGTGAAGACTGGAAAATCTGTAGTTCAGATCTGACTTTAGCCACAAAGACACTAACACGCGGGTTACAAGGGTGGAAAGACAAAGAATACACTTGCTTAACTATTCAGAAATCCTATTGGCTGAAGAATTTCATTCTCCTGCACAGTAAGACACTTATCTAGCACAAGTGATTGGAATAGCACCTATGAATTTGACCCTTATCCCACAGATGCATCTTCAGAGGGCCTCAAGGGTGTGTGTGTGTATGGAGATGAGGATGGGGAAGCAAATTGTGAAAGTAATATCATGGTATTGTTCTGCCCCAGCTATGGACCCCAAATAATGCAGCACACACAAAGTCTGTACAAAACTTAATTTAGTAAAATAACTCAGTCTTTTCCAAACAAAGGCTGTTAATAAACTTTCTTAACAGCCTACAAGAAACCAAAGATAAAGTAATCACAATCTTACTATGGTTGGCAGAAAGCCCAGAAGCAATTTTGCAGGGAATCCAGACACGAAGGAGAGTGAACTAAAGTTGTTCCCTACAAATTGCTTCAGTCAGCATTCCTCCTTAAATAGGCTAAGGAAGTGGCCAATTAGTCCCAAGCCTTACTCTCGAGGAGACCTCCTCCTGAGGAGCCACTCCTGCCTTTTGGCAGCTCTGCGCGCCCGTGCATCAAGAAGAGTGTCCTTCTCTTCGTCCTCTTCACTTAAAGGAGCTTCTGGAGGTTCTGAAGGCCCTGGCTGAATCCCTGCCTCTGGCACCATATCTTCTCCAGCCTCCTCATTGTCTGACTCGAGTGCCAACTGCACAGGCTGCTGGCGCAACACCACACCAGCCTTCTCACTGTCAGAATCAGATACAATCTGCACAGGCCGCTGACGGGCCACAACAGGTATCTCAATGCAAGCTCCCCTTCTTTTGTAGGCTTGCGTCTACAAAAGGCTTGGAACTTTTACACATGCGAGGTTTAAGATAAGCCTCAGATCTTGCAGATGTCTCTGCTCACATCTATCATGGCTGAATGGTTGGACTGTACAGAAGACTCTTTTTTTGCTAGAGCATAAAGTGGCTGCTGCTGGAGTTGACGCCAAAGGACTGACTTCAAGGGCAATGTCACTTTGGCATGCCTGAGGGGGGGAGGAAGAGGCTCCAGGCGTTATGAAGTGAAGAATTTCTTCTAGCTAGGACCAGGAGGAAAGTCATTCCATATTAAGTTGGATGCACATGTTTCATGAAGCCGTAAGATGTATTCCTTAAATGGTGCATACTCAATGCCCTCAGATTGACTCAACTGTTTGTGATAACATGGACATGATCAATGCCATTTTCTTGGCAAAAACGTAGACATGGTTTACCAATGCTGCCTTTTGGGAGATTTTTTTAAACACACACACACATGTTTGCTTAGCATTTTAAGTTTAGGTAAAGGTAAAGGTTCCCCTCGCACATATGTGCTAGTTGTTCCCGACTTGAGGAGACGGTGCTCATCTCCATTTCAAAGCCGAAGAGCCAGTGCTGTCCGAAGACATCTCCGTGGTCATGTGGCTGGCATGACTAAATGCCAAAGGCGCACGGAACGCTGTTACCTTCCCACCAAAGGTGGTCCCTATTTTTCTACTTGCATTTTTTACGTTCTTTCGAACTGCTAGGTTGGCAGAAGCTGGGACAAGTAACAGGAGCTCACCCCGTTATGCGGCACTAGGGATTCGAACCGCTGAACTGCCAACTGTTCGATCGAGAAGCTCAGCGTCTTAGCCATTGAGCCACCACGTCCCTATTTTAAGTTTATGCAGTAGCAATTTTTACTACACTGCTCATTAAAAATATTCCCAAAGTAGTATGTTGGTTATAATGTGCTATAAGTATCCAGCCATTATGAGTTGACATGGGATTTATATTTAAAAAAAGAGTTAAAGTTTATAAAATCAATAAAAGATTTGGAACTTAGCATTATTTATGACAAATAAGGAGTTTATTCAATAGTATGGCTCAATTTGACTTGTTAAACAAACCCTGGCTTATGTGAAGCAGACTTTGGTGAGAAGACTTTGGTGAGGGGTCTTTTGGTTCTGGGAGAATTATGCTGGTAGAACTGATGTGAGCTGATTTTTGTGCTATTTTTCTCTTCCACTCAGATTTCCAAACCTGAATAGTTTACCTGCAGTTTACTTAGATATGCAGATGTTGTTGATGAACTGCACATCAATTAACAATGAAATGCATGGTGTCTAATCTTAGTATGGGAAAGTATGAAGATGATGAACCTCTCTCAAATGTGTCCTCTTGGTTAACTTGTAGGACATTTTGTTCAATCAGAGGGGAGGGGAGGTAGATAGTCTGTAGGGAACAGTCTGTCTCCAATGAATCATTTTAATGCCAACCTGACTAAGTACCCTAAAATAAAATTAGTTGCTCTTTGTATAGTCTTAGAAATATTTTTAGAACGAATGAGCTGGAAGGGACCTTGGAGGTCTCCTAGTCCAGCCCCCCTATCTATCTTGATATTTCTGTCTCCCTGTCTACAGATAAAGATGGGTTTCATGCATGGCATTAAGAAGAGGAAAGCAGATTTCATCTGAATGTTATGAGAAACAACCCTGAGAATTACGAGCTCTTCAGCAATGAAATGGTGGTAGGTTTCTCTTTCACTGAATGTGTTCAAATAGTGGCCAGAAAGACATAAAGGAGCTTAATCTAGATCCTTGCACTGGGCAGGGGACTAGAATTGAGTGCCTCAATGACCCTTGGCCACTCTAAGATTCTGTGCTAGGGTATGATGCTCCCAGGCTACTGAATCTGTTGGAAGACCAATTCCATAGTTAGATACTTACATAGTAGATACATAAGTAAGAAATTAGAGCCAATTTGATCTAGTGGTTAAAGCATCAGGCTAGAAATCAGGAGACTGTGAGTTCTAGTTCCATTTTAGGCATGAAAACAGGCTGGGTCTCTTTGGGCCAATCACTCTCTCTCATCCCAATTCACCTCACAGGACTGTTGTGGGGAAAATATGAGGAGAAAGGAGTGTTAGGTATGATTGCAGCCTTGATTTATTAATTTATAAGAATACTAAAGGCAGGATAAAAAAGGCATCTAAATAAATAAATACTTTCTTTGAATCTGATTTTGTAGAATTGAAAAGGAAGAACTTCATTGTCACGTGAAAGGAGTTAACCCTCCAGCTAATCTATGATGGGACTTAGTCCTCTATTTTTTATTTTTGCATTATGTGGGCTTAGATTCTTATTATGTACCTTAAATTGTCAGCCTTCTGCTGGTTTTCATTTCATTTTTATTTTTATTCTAGGTTAGGTTTTTTTCCTTCTTTCATTTTATTTTTAATTTCTTGTCCTTCGTTTCTTTCCTGCTTTTCAATTACTTTTTCTTAAGTTTCGCCTTTGATACATATATTTCCTATAACAGTGTTATTCTTTACTTATAAGAATTCTAAGTTATAAGTTAATTCTTAGGTGATATTTCCTATAATGTATTTCAATATCATTTGATATAATTTTCCTTTGCAGATTGCTTTTAGAAAATTAAACATTTGGTATATCCCCCCAGTCTACAATCCCAGGGCTTCATGTGTCCCCTCAAAGCCCAGAACATTGTCTTCATAAAGCTCCAAAATTGTTACCAAATTTCATTTTCTAATATGATGTTAGGTGCAGTGGTGGGATTAAAATAATTTAACAACCGGTTCTCTGCCCTAATGATTTCTTCCAACAACCAGTTCACCAAACTGCTCAGAAAGTTAACAACTGGTTCTCCCGAAGTGGTACGAACCGGCTGAATCCCATCACTGGTTAAGTGCTGTCAGTTAAGGCCCAGTTCCTGTTGACTTCATGGACAAATGTTCACCCTCCCAACCGCTCTGCAGTTATAATTTCTAATTCTTCCATTAGTTTGCAGGTCATTCCAATCATTTCTAAGACATGTTTCATCCACCTTTTGCACTGCCTTCCCATTCTTCTACTTTTTTTTTTCAATCTTGCAAGAATAATCATTTTTCCTACTGATCATCCACCGCCATGCTCAATCATCAACTCAACAAAGCAGTCAGCCTTGATTTGGTCCAGCTTTCATCAGTTGGTTTGTTCTACAGTTCATGATACTCATAGTAATTATCTCCACATTCATAATTTAGCCGTGTCCATCTCTTTTCTCCTTCTTTTCTCAAAGCCCAACTTTTTCAGCTCTTTAAGGTAGGCCTGATCAGGAATAGACAACACAAGGGCTAGTGGAATTCAGCCTTGTTGTTACAAGGTGCAATAATTCACTCTTGAAAGCCTACTAGAGTTTCCTTCTGCCTCCCCTTGTATCATCAGAATCAAGACAGGATTAATCTGAGTACTTTCTCAAGACTGATTTGCTTAGCAAGATCTTGGCTCAAAGACAGTCCAAACAGGAACCAGATCTCTTGGAATTCTCCAAAATAAACCAATCAGAAGTCCACATACACAATGAACTAGTCAGCAGACAGGCTCAAAGACAGATCAATCAGAAACTGGTACTCTAAGAATTTTTTCAAAATTGACCAATCAGATGAAGAATCAGTCAGGGACCAATTTTCTTGGATTGGTAACATGGACCAATCAGAGCAGGTTGCCAGCTTCAAATACAAGAGCCCAGTCAGCCTAATTCATCTGACAGAGAGAGATGTCACAAAGCACCTCATTTGGCCCCTTAAGATGCCAGCCATAGCTGCTGACAAAACATTAGAATAGACCAAAATAAAACTAGACCATTGCCACTCAGCCTGAAAACTCATCAGTGCTTCACTGATGCCAGCCATGAAAGTCCACACCAAGTGTATATTCCTTATATTCCTTTTAGTCAATAGTATCTCTCTACACCTCTGCAAGTTTTCACAGCAATGCTGGATTAATTTTTTTAAATCATATTACATTTATTTAAATTTAATTTTTTGTTTTGGCTCAGTTAACTACTTTTTGATATCACTCAAGATTTTTATGAAAAGATTGGACAGCCATTTGTCTGGAATGGTACAGGGTCTCCTGCTCGAGCATGGATTGGACTAGTCACTAGAAGATCTTCCAATTCTGTTATTTTATTAGCATTCATCAGAGACCAAATGGGCCCTTAGGAGGGGTGGGATTCAAAAATTTTAGCAACCGGTTCCCTGCCTGGTTGCTGGGTGGGCGTGGCCATGGTGGGCGTGGCCTACTTGGCCTCTTGCACCATGATGGGGGTGTTGTTTTTGCCCTCCCCAGGCTCTGGAGGCTTTCCTCAAGCCTCCGGGAGGGTAAAAATGGCCTCCCCCGGGCTCTGGAGGCCCTCTGGAGGCTGGAAATGGGCCCGTACTTCTGGTAGGCCCATTTTTCACCCTTCTGAGGCTCTGTGCATGCCCTGCACATACCTGGCATCCAAAACGGGCCATGTGGAGACTCCTGGAAGGGGAGGGGAGGGGTGGGCGGGGCCAGCCAGTCCTTGCAACTACTGGATCAGCGAACCAGATCTAAAATTAACATCCGGTTTGCCTGAATCGGTCCAAACCGGCTGAACCCCACCCCTGGCCCTTAGTTTAGAAAAAGTTCATTAGACATAAGCAAAATGCCCAGATATTCAGAAATTTTAGATAAACAGGGAAAGCTTAAAAACAATCAGGTACTAAAAGAACAGGGAATATCTATTGATTGGTGGCCATATTTACAACTGCAATCTAGATACAAGAAAGAAGTGGAAGAATACGGAACTGACACGGAACCAAAACAACTAGACAAATTGTTGATAGGCCCCAAAGGAAAATTAATATCCAAAATATACAATTATCTATTAGAATATGATAGAGTAGAGGAGGTGGTGAAAGAACCGATGATTGCATGGGCTAAAAACATAGGGCATGATATAGATTTAGTTGATTGGGAAAGAATTTGGAACAAAAATTATACTATAACCAAGTCTGCTGCTGCTTATAAGGAAAATCAGTACAAAATGCTTTACCGTTGGCACCTAGCCCCAGCAAGGCTGGCTAAAATGTATTCGAATCTAAGCCCAAAATATTGGAAATATAACCAATGTCAAGGTACCTTCTTTCATGCTTGGTGGCTATGTCCTAAAGCGAAAAAGTACTGGACTAAGATACAAGGATGCTTACAAGAGCTAATAAAATGTCAAATAAACTGAATAAAATGAACTAAACCCGGAAATATTTCTCCTGGGAATACTTAAAACAAAATTTGATAGAAAGATATTTGATTCTACACATATTAACAGTGGCAAGAATTGTATTTGCGCAATACTGGAAGGAACGCAATTGTTGTGGCTCCGTTACCTGAGCCTGTGTCATTGGCAGGAGAGGACTCCGAGAGTGAAGGAGAGGAGTTGGCAAGGCCTACCTCTCCAGGACCCTCCTCTTTGGCAATGCCTTCGGTGTCCGCCGAAGGGCAAGAGATAGGGCCAGGGCCAAGCACGTCCACGCAGCCACAGGTGGACAGTGATGAGAGTAATGAGTCTTGGCTGGATCCTCGACAGCGTCGTAGAGATAAGCGCGCGCAACAGAAGAAAAGGCGTGCCAGAGATTAGGCTGAGTCACTGGACCACCCCAGGGTATAAAAGGGAGCGTGGTGGCCAGTCAAGCCTTGTGACGAACAAAGCTGAAAGCTTCCATGCCATTCTGCATTGCCGGACTTTTGCTATAGACTTTGCTGGATTATATTTGGACTTAATTTACTCTGTAATTATTGAACATTTTACTTTGATGTACCAGAAGCGGAGAGAAGTTATCTCTTCCCTTCGTGAGTAATAAACTCTTGGCAGGCAGCCACTAGGTTGCTGCCAAGTTCCGTTATCATAAGGAAAAGGATTTTGTCGGCTGGTTTGGTTTTTAACTCTTGGACGTCTGTTGGTGTGTGTGCGTGTGGAACGGGGACAGAACATCAATACACCACCAGAGGGACTGATCATTTAGAAGATATATGAATGTGCCGAAATGGATAAACTTACCCTAGAACTAAAAGAAGAAGATGATTCGGAATTTTACGTGGTTTGGGAAAAATGGTATACCTGGATAGATAATAGAAATAAAAATCGGAAATATACATAAGGTTATTGAGGATTAGTTATTGAATGTATATATTGTATATATTGTATGGAATGTTGATCCAAAGTATATAAAAATGGCACAGTGTTGATTATGTACTAGAGTTGTGTAAAGGAAAATTGCAATAAAAATTATTTTTAAAAAAAAAAGAAAAAGAAAGTTCAAATTCATTTGAACTTCATTTTCATTTTCTTTCTGAATGAAGAATGGTGAAGCCCAACGTTGCTCTTTCCTTCCCACTCCTCCTTTGTCTGAATTAAAATAAAATTTCCAATTACTGCTCGTTCAGTTAGGTTTCCTCCCCCTATTTTATGGCAGATGAAAGTTAAAGAGGCCCAATTATTAACATTTTATGGTAGCCTAGAATATTATGAAAGCTCTTAAGATGTTATTAACACCTTTTTCGAACCTCATTATTTAAAAGCCTGCCATGCTTAATCATTTTAACACCATTAAATTGGCATGAACACTACCCCATGACTTTCGCTCCCCAAAATCCTGCAC